CATGGTCCTTGAAGGTATAAACAGGAGAAAATTAAATAGGAGTAGGGAGGTGATATTACTTTTGTATACAGCATTGAGAACAGTACTGGAATAGCATCCAGTTCTGGTGTCCACATCTGAAACAAGATGTTGCCAAATTAGAGGGGATTTGGGAAAGAGCTACGAGAATGATTAATTTTCTGAGAACCTGCCTTACAGTGAGACATTTAAGGAGCTCAACTTATTTAGCTTATTGAAGAAGTTAGAAGGTGACGGGATTCTGGTCTGCAAGAACCTACCCAAGAAGAAAATATCTGATACTGGTGAGTTCTTTAGGTTAGCAGACAAAAGTATAAGAAGATCCAGTGGCTAGAGATTGAAGTTGGAGAAATTCAAATTGGAAATAAAGGACAAGTTTTAACAGTGAGAGAGAGATTAACCATTGGGACAGTTTACCAAGTGGTGTGGTGGATTGTCCGTCACTTCCAGTTTTTAAATCAAGATGGGATGTCTTTCAAAAAGACATGTTGTAGTTGAACTTCAAGTAGTTGAGGTCAATTCTGGCATTGCTGGATGAAACTCACTGGCCTATGTTATATAAGAGGTCAGATTAAATGAGCATAATGGTTCCTTCTAGCCTTAATATCTCTGAATCTGTGGCTGCTCTGATTGTTTATGCAGGGATCTTTGTTAGTATTTTCTCTGGGATTCCTTTGGTAATAGCATTATCATTTGTCTGCCTCATTCCTCTTTGGAGTGAAATGCTTATCAACCCTTTTAAGGACAATGTTGTGGTGATTATTATCCCCGTATTCAGCAAAGGCAAATGATTTATACATATTTTCATCTTCAGTCCTTATTGCATACATTAATCAGTGAGTCACCACTGTCTGCATTCAGTTTTGTTGCAGTTCAAAATCTGGTGAGCTACTCCTTCCACTCAAGCCATTCCAGTGGTTTATCAAATCAAAAGTGTTGTGGAGAGTGGATCTGTGACATTTTCTTTTCTCTCTTATTTATGTTTGATCAAAATAAATCAGTTTCTGACACCATGTCATGTAACCATGTTAAAGAATCACAGAGATGCTTTCTTCAAACACTGAATAAGGAATTGTATTAGAATAAAGAAAAGGATAATCTCCATACCTATTCTGTCTCTGCTTTGCTGTAGAGTCTCTCCCTAGACTCTGCCCCAATCCCCCTCCTGCCTGGCTTCCTTCCATATATTTAAAGAAACAGTACACATATCCCAAGAGCAAAGCTGAAAGTTACAGGAAGGGAAAAGTTACAGGAATGGCAAATGTGATATTGCACAATAACCATTAACTAACAGACATCCCCTCAAGCAGCAGGGAAAAAACAACATTTATTGACCTTTTTGGTACCAAATAATTAAGATAAGGTTGTGTGATTTGAACAAATACTATTTCCTTTGCCTCCAGTATGAGTATAGGACACATTTACTGGAATATCTCGGACTCAGGCTAAAATGAGGGGATTAAAGAGGGGCTTTCCTCCACATATGCTGGAATAGACAGACGTCAAGTGTCTTTGCATTGTGCAACACATGATTTCTGTAACTTTAATTGAAATGTGTCATTGGGTGTGTGTGTGGGGGGGACAGCATGTTGATGTCCCACTGTTTAGAGGACGTCCGATTCCTGAAGCACTTAACTGAAGTGTTCATAATCAAGGGTGGGGGAGGGGTTGGTAGTGCCATTTCTCAAAAACACCCATTTGGAACATGTTACACTGTTGTAATATGGGATGGATAAACATGGAGCTAATAGCTGGATGGAGAGCAAAAGCGACATTTGTTTGTTCTGCATGATACATTTGCCTCTTGTCCATGTTTCCTTGTTCCTGGCGCAAAAGTTGATGTGATAGGATAAGATGAATTTTGGTTCTTTATAAATCGCGTCACACACTGAACATAAGAATGATTATTTTAATTGTGGAAAAAACAGTCGACATTTTACCTCTGGGCTGGTTCCTTGTTCATCACTGATTCCACTCCTCAGACTAGTTTTCATGGCATCAGGCTGAATGCTGATCATTTCAATCTGGTGTGTTTTCCACTACTGCCAGTCCCAAATATTTAAAAAGTAGGAATTAGATCTAAAAATATCACGAGATTAAAAATAATGAGATGTTTAAAAAAATAGTAAAATCAGTCATATTTTTTTAAACCTGCCTTCTAACATCTTTAACTTTACATCTGTTACCAAAAACACCCATTTCAGACAGAAATGGAATCAGAACTAAACCATGAAAATCTGAACACACGTAAACTTTGGAGGATTGGGAAGCACTGAGGTAGAGCTGAACCTGGATCTGAATTCCACAATTAGGGCTTCTCTCTGTTATGGGCTAAGCCTGAACCCCATATTCAAACACTCTCCAATTCTCATGGTGCGGCAATCGAATCCAAATGCATATTTTGCAGCTCGTGCCTTATAGGGAATAGAATGGAGAACTAGCTGTGAGGGAGCTCACGGCTATTCCAGCTCCACCTCTCCCATCAGGGGGTCAACATAAGGAATGAAGGAACTGTGGTAAGAGGTATGCTCACATCTGCTAGAATCAACAACAATTTCTCTGTATTCATACCACAACTCAGACAGTGGTACAATCAGTCATCATAGAATTAACAGCATGTGTGTTGGCTCTATTCACTTCCAGCAGGAGTCACTGCAGGGAATATTGTAGGAACACAGTTAATGAAGAAGCTAACCTCCAGTTCCTGACCTGGAAGGACGTGTATTAAGTAAATTACAACCATAGGAGTGACTGTCCTTCTCCCACTAGGGATCGCTGTACAGGGAGGTGTACGAATGATGGCAGTAGGGAAGCTCACAGTCCCACCAGTCCTAATTTCTACCCCTTTTTAGGGAATGGAATAGAAGCCTCAGAAATCCCTGAACTATGGAAACTTAAAAGGGCATTGTGGGGTGATGAGCAGTTTTCTTTATGGTAATTTTCCCCAGTGAAAACTGTAACAAAGTGTAATTTATGTATGTGTGTGAAAGGGTTGTGAGAACTCCTTTATCTTTAGAGTGGAACATGGCGATCCCACTGAGATGAATATATTGCTGTCATTTCAGGTCTTCTGATACTGGCACCTGGTCCATGGTAAATCTTCTTTGTGGTGCCATTATCTTTGAGTTCCTGAAATCGTTTGTTTGATTGAACTGCAGCAGAGGCATTTTGTCATCCTCACCAACTGCCAACAACAATAAAGTGTAAACAAATACCATTCCTGTAAATCAGCATTTAATTAGTTTACTGGAAAGAACTGAGAGAGATGTAGCCTAGAAACAAGGTTTAAAAGAAGGCTTCTGTCGCACAGTGGCTCAACCAATTCCTGGTTTTATAAATGGACTGATGAGCACATTGGAAAGATGGATGGAGGATTTGCTTAGTGAACAACCTGCATTGTACTGAGGGCTTGATCCAGTGCCCGCTGAAGTCAATGGTTGTCTTTCCATTAATTTGAATGGGCAGTAGATCGGGCCCTTTGCACTTGAAGTGAAACCTTTCAATGTTTCTGTAAGTTTATTTCAAATACAAAGTTAACTATGGCTCAAACAGACCAAAACATGGGGTGCCCAATGTCCTGCATAGTGTTTGTCAATTGAAAGTCTCCTTCAGTATGTTAAGCAATACATTTGCCTTGGGACAGAGAAGGTTCACATCTAAGCATCCACTTCAGATCCTTCAGGAAGCAAATTCCGTCTCTCTTCCAATCTGATGATTCCAACTGAGAAACCAGTACCAGATCAAAACCATAGTATAATTATTTAAACTACTTTTTAGCAAGAGACCCCCTTGAACTGGAGCTGAAAGCATGACATAGACGGATCAAAACTGTTTGCTGTCCCATTTCATGAAGTGGGCTTGAGACTTGATTCCACTAAACTTGATTCCATTGAATTTACTAATTAACATTAGTATTTATTTTTAAAATATTTCAGTTCACCCTTAAAAAGACCTTGTCCTAGGCAGTTTCACTGGTTGAGAAGGATGGCCCAGTAACTAATGTGCCTGGGGCTAGTTTCTCAGTTGGAGTAAGTGGCATTAGAGGTGGGCAGGAACTGCATTTTTTTTGGTTTTGCCAGGAATCCATGGTTTTGAATTTTTTCCCATTCTTAAATGGAGTGAAAACAAAACACTTGGAAATTTCCTGTGAAACAAAATTTTGGGAAAAAAATGTTTTGGGTCAATAAATATGTTTTGTTCCAGTACAACTGAAATGTTTCATTCCAATCTCAACTTTTTATATCATAGAATAGAAAATGATCTTAGCCTGAAACGAAGTCATTTTGAAACAGAAAACTGACATGGTCCATGCCAAAAAAGGGTAAAACAGAATATTTTGACCATATAGAAATTTTTTTTTCAGTTGTTCTTTCTAAATAAACTGTTGTTGAAATCGACACATTTTTGCAAAATGTTTCACTTTTGACAAATTAGCATTTCCCAAAGAAAAATGTTCTGTCAGAAAATTTCCGATTAGCTCTAACTGGCATAACTCCACTGACTTCAATGGATAGTGATTTATACCAGCTGAGAATCTGACCCATCTCTGGAAGTCTGCAGAGCTGGGTGTTATGCCAGATACGGTTACAGATGTGCTGTGTGGCTCTGGGCACTTCACTATGCCTTAGTGTACTGTTAGGACAATTTACCTGTCTGATCTAATCTATCTATGCATTTATAATGTACACAACGCTGTGGTATGTAGGCACTGCTGTAGTATCTAATAATATTTACCTACTGCATGGGGTGGGGGTTGCCTACAGCACAGGGCAAAACTTTACTCATTGATGTTTGCAAAGCACCATGGTCCAGATCCTCAAAGGAATTCAGGCACCTAACTCCCTATTCGAGTTTTGGAGGCTCCTCTCAATTGAAGTTAAGCACCTAAATACCTTTGTGGATTTTGACCCAAGCCCCTCAGATGGAAGGTGCTACAGAAGTGTAAAGTATCAGTAAATGAGATCTGTGTTTCCCTCCCACAGCTTCTCCTGCGTGTGACACCAAGAGCAGAGGGCAAAGAGAAGCTGCTGGAAAGTGCAAACGCCTGCAGAAAGAGAGGCTGATGTTATTCGGAGGAGGCTTCATTTATAACAGCCTGGTACACATTATCAAGCAATCTAGATGATGTTTGACAACACGGTTGACCTCCCCCTTCTCCACCCCCACATGCACTGAAGTGGGGAAACAACATGGAGCCTTTCACTGGAAGTGCTGTTTACAAAATACTGTATTTTCTTTCCAAAATTCCACAGCAAGAGGCAGTCAGCAGCTTTAGCGCATGCCAGCATGAACTGGAGCACTTCCTAGGCTGACTTGCTTTCAGTAGAATAAACATAGAGGTTAGACACTTACGCTTATATATATATCTATATATCCATATCTATCATAAATGTAGTAGTAAAATAACACAGCTGTGCCTGTCTGAGAGCTGAAGGAATGTGGATACTATGAGTAATTAAACAGGGTTAAGTAGTAATATCTTAGAACTGTTGGTTTCCTGGATCCTAGGACAGGGCCAATGTAGCCAGTTGGTCTTCATTTTGGAATTTATTGACTGCTGAACGCTAATATGCAGTGTTGTTGTAGCCGTGCTGATCTAATAACAGATATTACCTCACCCACCTGGTTGAAGTCTAATATGGCAGAGATAATAATGCCGTCATAGCACTGGAGGTTATTGGATGCAGCTGTCCTATAGTGCAGTGTATGGAATTGTATTTCAGTCTTAGAGGCTCCTGGATGCTGTGCTATTACATAGCAGAGGTAACACAGCTCAGTCGTATTACTGTAGAGCCCTACATGCTGTGATGTAATAGACAGCTCGAGTCGGCTCTCACTTTCACTGGTTTTGCGCAAGTGTAACTCAACTGACCTCAGTGGAGTTGCTCCTCATTTACACTGTGGTGTACAGGTGCAGAAGCAGGTCCATAAGGCAGCTGTGTCTCAGTGAAGGGTGCTGAATGCTCTTCTTTAAAATATCCCAGAGATTCTATGATGTATCATGTCTCAATGTCACAGGCAGGTGCTGTATAGGCCTGGGGCAATGCTTACAGCGTGGCCTTCCATTATCTTCCCTGAAGACTGTACACAGTGAGGGAGGAAAGGGAACCAGTTTCATAGCTATCTGGCACACAGTGCCAAGCTCCTCCGTTTGATCAGCTATCCCAGTGTACTCACCCCTTGTCTTTATGTCAATTTTCGTTAATTATTTTTATAGCAAGGAAAAGGGAAAAAACCCCTCACAATTACATAATATGCTCAGACTACAATGATCAAGAGCAGCAATATAGCATTTTATTACCGTAGCACATGCAGCTATTTGTGTGTTACACACTGAATCAAGGGACTTGATTCTCCTCTTGCTAACCCCAATTTTATAAGGTGATGGCAATGGAGTTACTCCTGATTTCCACCAGTTTAAGTGGAAGATGTATCAGAACCAGGGATCCTATCACTATGTTTGTTAGAAATCTTGTGCCTTGTTCTCCTCTCACTTATACAAGTTTATGCAAGTATTAGAGAGAGAAGAAACAGGCCACTTTAGTTCAAGAGTCTTCTGTGCCATATCACAATATATTGAGTGTCATTTGGCTTGGAACATGGGAGGAGTTTCCCCAAATTCCTTCTTGCTGTGATAATGGAAGGGAGTTTGTTACAACAGACTATCAGCTTTTTATGGAGGCCTAAAGGTTTGCCAGGGAGCAGAGAATTTTTGTCACCTGATGCTGCTTCCCCTAAAAACCTAGTTTCTCTGTGGCTGCTGTGAGATGTCTGTGATGCCATGCTATGTTCTAGCATCCTGTTAGTCATTTGTGGTACAATTTTCAAAACTGGGTGCCTAAATGGACACCGCATTGTCTAAATCAGGCTGCTGTGCACTCATTTAGATACCTCAGGGTACCTAGACACAGTAGCAAAAACAACCCATGGCAGCAAGTCTCAGAGCCCAGGTCAAGTGACTCAGGCTTGCAGGGCTCACACTGGGGGGCTAAAAATAGCAATGTAGATGTACAGGCAGGCTCATGCTGGAGCCTGGGCTCTGAGACCCCACCCCACCCAGGTTTCAGAGCTCAGGCTCCAGCCTGAGACCGGCAGACTCGCGTCATTTGACCCTGGCTCTGAGCGGTGCTGCTGTGGATCTTTTTTTGCTGTTAGACATACTGTACACGTCAACATAGGTGCCTATCTCTAGGAAACCAGCGTTTGATAATTGAACTCCCCGTAAGTGCTCTGCAGTTGACAATGTCATTGATAGCCACAGAAGGAAAAAACAAGTTCCATTCTCTCTTGTTTTCCCCTGCTTTCAAACACTGAAAAACTGAAACTAGAAAATAACTCAAAACTCACAATTTGGGGTTTTTTGGTTCTTTTCTTTTCTTTGGATGAAACAGAAATTTTATGAGGTAAATTTCCCATTACAATGCTAATTTTAAAAAGGGACACAGGTTTTCACCAATACATTTTTTTGGAGAGACAAATGTTAACCGCCTTTATCCTGAGCCCTCACTGGGGCCAAAACCACAAAGGAACTAGAATTAGTATGTGCATGAAGTATATTTTTGGCCAGTTGCACCTCAGATTCTGGAAGATTAAAGATAACTATCCTGTAGCTAAAATAAAGCTACTTTCAAAACGACAAAATGAAAAACATTTGTTTTTGTCCAGTGAAATGTCTATTGTGGTTCTCATTGCAAATGCACCAAAAAAATATTATATTGTAGAAGCAGAAGGCATAGTGGGCACACCAGGCTACAGACAATAAAAGCCAGGATGACAATAAAAATTATGGCTGTTTCTTAATACATAGTGGGTGTCTGTGCTCAGCTGTCTTCACAGACCATCTCATATACCTTCTGAACACAGAAGATCAAGATAGTGCTCTAAAGCAGTAAAGAGACACAAAACTGGGGCTATTAATATATATAAGACTTAATTCCAGGTCAGCAGTGACTCCAAGCCATCTGATGGCTTAGTGGCCTGTGGAAATGAGTTGGTGGCCTCAGTCCAGCTTCTAATGGACATGTGTCCTCATCACAAAGCTACTGTAACAGATGGCACTTTTGACCCCCTTGCTGGCACACTCAGCAGAGAGGGCAATGAATTAATAAGCACCGAGACTCTCTCACTTCTAGAGATGGCCACTGTAAGTCAGAGCTGTTAGCGTTAGACAGTGAAACAAAAAAAATTGTTCTTGCCATTTATGGTTTGTTTTGATGCAAAAACTGTCTCAGAGTCTGTTTTTAATCTTTTTCTCCGGGATCAGAGGGGCATGGGCGAGAATGGCTTTAAGACACTTTTTCATACTACCCTCCCCCATGCGGGGACTAGCTAGTGACTAGTCTGTTCTACTGCAAAAGTTAGAGCGGTCTACGCTGCACAAAACCCCAGGGAGCCATTGGGACATAGCCAGGGATTCCTTGGGCTGCTCCTCTGAACTGGAGGCTCAATCTGACACTGAGCTGCTATCCTAGCACTACGTCATCCAGCAAATAAGTATTTTCTGTGAAAAAAAATTCATTTAATTTGACTATTTCACTGAGTTGTTTAATTAAATCAGTCCAAATGAACATTTTCTTTTCATTTCAGTTCAGTTAGAAAATGTTTGTTTTGTTTTGAATAAAAAAAGTTGGTGTCGGTTTTCCCCCCACTCCTTTGTCTTTTTTCCTGTCCCCTTTCCCCCAAAATGACATTTTTTTCATTCCTTTTGAAAAGCCATTCTTCATCAAAAAGTATTCTTGACCAGTCTCCATTCAACAGCTCCTCCCTTTTTCAATGGGCTGGGAGATACGCAACTCACATTTCAGTCTCCTGTGTCAACACTGTGATCTGGGCAAAGTCCCCCACCAAAGAGAAAGCAGTGAAGACCCCCACACACAAGCTTTGCTTGGCAAATGGACTTTAAGAGAAATTGGGACATTTTCTAATCTCAGTTACTTTGGATTTTCCCCAGTGTAAATCAATGGAGTTATGCTGGATTTACACCAGTACAACTGGTTTTAGCATGTGAACCAGTGTTGGAGCAGTCAGTGTGCGGCAGTTGGAGCCCCCTTTGTCCATTCTATGCCTGTTCTATGGATAAACACAGGTTTTCAGTTTCCAGGGCTTTGAGTCAAGTGCCTTTCACCTCACTACATTCACTGGAGAAAATGTAAGGGTGAGCAAACCTAGCAGTGAGCAATCCTTGAGCACTATGTACAAAGGTGCAAGCCTGCTGTTCTTGCTGGTGGAGCTCACAGGGTTAAACTGGGGATCATGTTCTTGAAGCCCCCTGGGTTTGCTTTATTTGACTCATCAATCTAACTGAAGCTTTGCTGGCTTCAGATAATGCAGGAATTAACTGGGACAGCAAGACAAACAGAAGCTTGAATATCCACCTAGGTTAGCAGTCCCACCCTTCCACCAATCAACATGCCGGGGCTGATTAATAACAGGGGACACTAAATCTTACTCTGTGTCTGACTGATTTATCACTGAAATTCCTCTTCGGGATTTTATTGTTGGGAATATTGATCAGACATTAAATACATAGAAAGGAGAGTAAATCATTATCCAGGAGCTAGCCAGGACTGAGTGCATAAGGACTGGTTTCTCACTCTGACTCTATCTTCCATCTAGAGATGAAGGGACATGTATTCCATGTATGACTTCAGAGGCTAAACCACAAGGGAGCATCCCTGCAAATGACTGAAGACTTTCCTGATTCTTTAATCTCCATTGTTTCTATTTTTTCTTTTGTCTGAATGAACCTTTCTGCATTCAGCTTTCTCCCTCCACCCAAAGGAGATGTCATCAAAAGCCTTCCCCTCTCCCGGCTCATAGCATGCAGCTACATCATTTTGACATAGTTCATGACAAATGCCTTGCTCACACAATCCGATCAAAGCTCAGTCGATGGAAAAATAATGTGCCCTTTAATTTCTAAGGGTATGTCTACACTGGAGTGGGAGGTGTACTTTTCAGCTCAGGTAGACATACCTGGGCTAGCTTGCAGTGGCATGAGCAGTGGGAGGGGCCAGCTACTCAAGTACATACCTTCAGTATCGGACAGGAACGTACTTGGCACAGCTAGCCAGTCCCACTGCTTATGCTGGGGCAGCTACACTTCTATTTTGAGCACACTAGCTTGATCAGAGGTAGTGCGTGCATGTCTACATGAGCTGGAAATTACACCGCCAGCTCCAGTGTAGACATACCCTCAGTGTCTGATTGTCTTCTCCCTTACATCTGTGTCAAGTGGTAGTAATTCCACTGAAGCCAATGGAGTTACTCCTAGTGTAAAATTGACATAAGGGAGAAGACATTCAGGTCCCATAATCTCTAAAAATGTCTGCTGACCTTCAATCTTTCATACCTCACCTTTACACAAATGGCTTTGCAGGGTCTGAAAACACACCAGGCTGTGAGCTATGAGTGTGTGAGGAAGGCAGGAAGCATATTGCATTTTAGGGACATGTTGTTAGCATTCAATATCTGTCACTTTAGGAAAATGGATGCATTGAAGGGCTGATTCTCATCCTCTCACATCAGTGTAAATCAGAAATCACTCCTGTCCAGTAGTGAAATTAAGCTTGTAGAAAACAGGAAGAGGAGCTCCAGGCCCACAGGCCGTCTCCTATTGGATTGTTTCGCTTAATATTCCCACCATTGCTAATGCTGATCCAGCTTCTCCAGTGACACCAAGAAACGTATTTCACAGGGTCCGTTCCCACTAGAGCAGGGGTTCTCAAACTGGGGGTCGGGACCCCTCAGGGGGTCGTGAGGTTATTACATGGGGGGTTGTGAGCTGTCAGCCTCCACCGCAAACCCCGCTTTGCCTCCAGCATTTATAATGGTGTTTAAATTTATAAAAATTAGGGTTACCATTCGTCCGGATTTACCCGGACATGTCCTCCTTTTGTGTGCTAAAAATAGCATCCGGGGGGAATTTGTAAAGCACTCACAATGTCCGGGATTTCCCCCTCCCCTGG